AGTACAAAACCCTCACTAGCAACTTTTCATTTTTTAGTATGTTGTCCTTTCTCATTATTACACTTGGCTGTCTCAAGTTGGCAGTTTACAACAAGTGATCATATCCTAGTAAATTATTTTCCCCACTGTGTTCTTTATTTTTGCTTTTTACAAATATTATTAAATCATTTTAGGAGAGGAAAACACAGGACAATACTAGCCTTCATTGATTTTTTTTTTTTTTTTGGGGTCAGCTCAACCAGTTAAAGCTGTTTTGGAAAGCCTTGACTGAAAAACAAAAGTGGTGTTCCAGGGTTGTGGTCTGAATTCTCTTGATTTCTGAAGAACATACTTCCCTCTATGCTGCATGTTACTTAACTGAGTAAGTTCAGGGGACTAGTAGCTTATGGACAGTACACCTGCAAAATTTGTTCTGCTGTGGGCCTGACTGATTAGAAATTGCAGAGAAACCTTGAAAAAATGGGGAAGGAAGTGTCTGTTAATGGAGGATGGGTCTGTAAATGCATCCTTTGAGAGAGGCGAACTTTCCAATATTCCCAGTGCAACCCTTTTGCATCCTGGGGAAACCCCAGGGGAGTGGTCCTCGGGGGTGGCCAGGCTCCCTTGTCCCCTCAGAGAGTGTTTGCTGTTGCTGCTGCCCCAGATCAAGGGCTGGACTAGGTGGATATGGGGACATTAACCAGGAGCTTTTAGAAAGAGCGTGGGCATTGCAAGGGCACAGTGGATTTCACTGCTGTTCCATAAAGGCATTCATAAATTATTTTTGACAAAGCAAGTATTGTCCTCTCGAGGGGTCATGTGATTTGTAGGAAAATTGGTTCTTCATTGCCTCTGAAGGCTTTATTTTCAACATTAATGCTTGAGAAGTATGATTTACTAATGAGAAGAATATATTATGAGATGTGTATAATGGAGACATGCAAGGAAAGAATGGCACTTTTTTCTAATAAATCCTGCAAGGAATAATGACAGGAGTATAATTATAATTAATAAGGTCATATTATAATAACCTTAGCTGTGCAGTTACTTCTTCCTTTAGTCAATGGCTGTCTTGGGCAACGACAAGAGCAGGCAGCATGATGAGCAGCTACATAAATTTCATAGAGGGACTCTGGAATTAATGTTATTCCTGGATCTGAACTGTTGTTCATCATCAAAAGAAATTCCCTCTGTCATTTTTGCATGAAAGCTTCTCTAAAAAGTGATAATCAAGGAGGGTCCAGATGCTCTGTCTCAGTGATGCCCTGGGCAAATCACCCTTTGTTGTCAGAGATGCTTTTGGAGGATTTTCCCAGAACAGGGCAGCAATCTGAGCAGTCTATGCTATGCTTGATGCAAAATGAAAATAATTGCAACAAGACCTCTGGAAACGTCTTTCTCCTACATGTTTTTAAATGTAACATCCATCCTCAAGAATGGGCTTTTGGGGTGTTAAATCAAATATATGAGGGCATAGGGAAACTGCACAACAATAACAGAAATCAGGTTGGCGCATTCTGCATTTTTCACTTCTTGATGTACCCAGGGCTGGCCCTTATCCGGGGAAAGTGGGGTCCATCCCCATTAGAACTTCGTAAACTTTGGTAAAAACCTTTGTGATAGGATTAACAGAGACACACAGTGGTGGCACAGGGCAGTGGCAAAAGGCACAGACCTCCACAAACCTGCTGCAACGTGCGCCGCACACACCTGGGAAACTGTGACAGCCTGCGCCAGCTTCTCACAGGATTTCTTTCCCCTAATAGTTAAACAAAGAGGTGTATTCATGCACTCACACAGCTGTTTTCCGTAAGGATTTTGCTAGATTTCCCCATGCCCACAGAGATGGAAAAATGGCATGTTGGGCTAAGTAAAAAGAGGGTGGAGAATCATGTGAGGTAATGGTCATATTTTCTTTTTGTGTTGTTTTGTTTTCCAAAACACAACTACTTTTCCAATTAGTATAATTTTCATTAGAAAAAACCCCTTCTATATGCTTCTTTTCTGTATGATATTGACCTCTTAAGATGCTGTTGTGTTACGTGCATGAGCATAGACATGCAGGCAAACACAGGTCTACTTTAACATACTCTGTTGAGATTCCCATCAACGAGAAGAGCATTAGACCTGCCACTGGTTGAGGTTAGGGCATGGAGGATCTTCCAGGCTGGTGTTTTACTGGATGATGCACTCCTTGGAGAGCCAGGATGAGGGCTGTGACCAGAGCAGAGTGCGTGTCTGGGTGTGTATCAGATACCTGGTGTCCTGTCCTCTGCCGCTGGTGGGGCTGCGGTCAGGACGGAGCCACAGCTCAGTGGACTTTGGTACATAGAAGCCTTGTTCTCTACTGTAGATCAGGAGTAGGTCTATGCTCAAACTAAGCTCGAGAGTCAAAGTTGGTTCTTTCCTTGGAATTACAGTGTTCATATTGACGAAAAACTTAGAAATCTTCCCCAAATCTTTTTGGTTTGTAACATGAAGTGCTGTCATAATGCACTGGAGATTCAGCTCCACTGTAGAAAGGAGGGAGCTAAGGACCATATACAACCACATCATTACGTGTAAAAAAATACATATAACATTCTGTTAGAAGTTTCCATAAGCATGTTTTATTATTAATCCTTAAAGTTGTGGTGGAGTTCTTGTGTATTTTTGCACCTGTGCTCTAGACATTGCTGGTGATACTGCTGTTTGTCACCAAGCTGATAGAGATGGGCATGTGCAAACCTGGGCTGAGCTTGAAGACAGGCAGCTAGAAAGAAATTGCAAAGGAACAGGCATGCTTTCTGTCTGCCAGCATAGAACAACTAACTATTATATACTATTTTTTTGGTTTGTATTGTATTTTTCTCTTAAACCTTTGTCATGTTAAATGTATACATTTAGTATACGTATACTAAAAATTGTCTGTTGAGATCTTAATCAGCTAAAATGTATTAAAGCTGTCCCTTGAAAATTCTCAAATTTTGCCTGAATATGTGATCGGCTACTGCAAATAGCCATCTAGCTGGCTGTCTCAAAGCACTGTAGCTGTTAGCCTTACTGCTAGAGGTGCTGAATCTGTGTTTATGTGTTAACTTTATATTCTTAACACAGCCTAAATCATTCTGTTAAAAACTAATGGAGATTTTTCCTTAGCCTGGGATTATAACAGTCTCCAACTGAGCTGACTGAAAAAACAAATACCAAGAGCAGTGCTCTTAAAACTGTTGTCAACATGGTGAATCATAAAACAGCTATTCTTGATAATTTGTTAATTGTCTGTGGTTTTCTTATTACAGAAGAAGAACATCTATTAAAGAAATAATGATAATGCCTATTAAACTTTATTTTCCAACTTATTTCTTTGTAAAGACAAGACCTAAATTGGGTATGATGTGCACTGACAGTTTAAGCAAATATTTACTGACTGATATGCTTCTGTCACGTTCGTGCTACCTCTTGTACTTGAGAGCATTGCAGCTACCTTGCCACAGATTTCAAACAATTACTCTTTTGAAGTGATCAAAAGCAATTATATTGACAATGCAAGTCACACTTCACTTGTTGATATTAATATTCTTTTATATATTTCTCGAGTTCCCATCTGTAGTGCTCTCTGTGACCTGTTCTTCAAAAATCACACTGATCTTCCTCAACCCAAACTTTCAGTCCTGCCCTTTTTTCACTTCCTCTGTGTTCTTACTTCTCTTCCCACATCTTCTTTACTTCATCATTGCTAATTTCCTTTTTTTTTTCCTTCTTTTTTTGTTTCCCCAAGATCTCAAGTTCTAGCTTTGCCTTATGCTTTACAGGACTGTTACAGAATCCCAGAACCCCAGCATGGTTTGGGTGGGCAGGGAGCTCCCAGCCCACCCAGTGCCACCCCTGCCATGGGCAGGGACACCCCCCACTAGCCCAGGTTGCCCAAAGCCCCATCCAACCTGGCCTTGAACACTGCCAGGGAGCCAGGGGCAGCCACAGCTTCTCTGGGCACCCTCTGCCAGGGCCTCAGCACCCTCACCGGGAAGGAGTTCTGCCTCCCATCCCATCTCCATCTCCCCTCCTGCAGCTTCAGGCCATTCCCCTTGGCCTGTCACTGCAGACCCTGGTAAAAAGTCTCTGTTTTTCTAACAAACCCCTTTCAAGTATTGAAAGGCCAAAATAAGGTCTCTCTGTTCCAAGAGGTCATAGTATTTTAGTTTTTTGAGTTGATTTTCAGTTCTTCGGACCAGTTCCAGATTTCTGTCAAGAGTTTTCAATTGAGCATATATGCTAAGCCATGGATTTCATTGGCATTTATGAGCTACCTTTAGGTAAAGCAGAAATTGTGAAATTATAGTTCTCATGACAAATATGCAAGTAATAACTGTATATTACATGTGGATACAGCACACTTGTAAATTAACAAGATGATACAAAATAAGTCTTAAGTGTAAGTCTTATAGCACAGAACAATGACAAATTGAATTTGAAGTTGAATAAGAAAGTTTAGGTATGTGATTAAAGTCCTTATCCTGAAGACATTAACAGTTGTTAAAGCTACATGGAAGGTCTAGTGAAGTGGATAAAAATCACACACAGCTGATGAAACTTGTATTTAAAGGTTTATAAGTACCTAACATAGTTTTGTGTAACCCTTTCCCTAAAATGGTGAGATAAATAATAGTTTTGTATGAATTGCTGCAAATCCCTACCACTGAAGCTGCTTTTATTTCCATAATGAAAACATCAGAAAGTTAAGTAATTAAATGAGTAAAGGTTAAGTTAAACTTCCTGCAAAGTATATTCCTTGGTTATCCCTACTTTTTCTTCTTCCTGAAGAATTCCTGAATTCATAAGAGATTTATTGTTTATTATAATGAACAACTTGTTCTCCAAACAAGGAAATTACAAAGCATGAATTCTGCTCTTTGTTGCACATCTTCAAATAAGTTATCAGTTAAAAATACTTCTGTACCGTTTTGCATTAAGAACGTTGAATAGTTCACCTTTTCCTTTATAGACAGGAAATTCTTGATCAGTTTTTTTTTTCTGTTTAGGATATATTTGACAGTGACTGGTACGCCTCTCGCAGTCTCATTGGAGGAGCTGATATTATTGTGATTAAATACTCTGTCAACGACAAGACTTCATTTCAAGAACTAAAGGACAGTTATGTCCCAATGATAAAAAAAGCATTAAACCACTGCTCAGTTCCAGTAATAATTTCTGCTATCGGTGCAAGAAAAAACGGTATGTATCCAGTCCCCTGTAGTAATAGTTAAAATCTCACTTGGAAATTAGATATGCTGTAATTTCAGTAGAAGCTGGTTGTTTTTCCAAGTTACTAACAGAAACAATTAGTCTGTCAGGATGACAGTAACCTGTGCATGTATTATGGTTCTGTAGACTGGTGTATTGGCAAGAACATTATGCTTAATTAACCCTGGGCATGAAAGGCATCCTACCCTGCTTTTACCTCTGCAAGGACTCTTCTTGTGGATCCTCACAGACAAAGATTGAATCTAGTTCTTTAGATTAGGCAGTGTACATTTGATTGCATGAGATGAACCCTATGGTTACGAGTTCTCTCTGGTCATGTCTCAGGTATGAATTTATCTCTAGTGTATGAGATTAAAACAGCCCATCAGCTTGCAACCACTGGAGAGGGCATGGGAAAAGCCTTGAAATTCTCTGCAGTGTCATCAGATAAACAGACACACCAGCCTTTCGGGTACCACAAAGTGCCATGGACTGCCACATCAACAGAGTTGACCTGTCATGGCAGAGTAGCTATGGTATAGACATGGTATAGCTATGGTATAGCTTATGCGTTCACACAATGCTCTGTCCAGGCTATGAGAACAATGCAAATTGATTTTACATCGAATATTTGAAGTTGCTGTTGTTGCTGTTTAATCAATGTGAAAATCACAGTCGCACAGTTGTGTTAGGACTGAGGGGACTGATAAGCGTCCAGCAGCCGACGAGGGTAGTGCTGCTGAGAACGTGTTCACGGCTTGGGTAGGCATCAGTAACTCCTCTCTGTTTGCATCAGGGAAATGAAGTTCAGAAAGAATACCACAGGTACCAATAGAAAAAAATAAAAACTTTATTTGGTATTTCCAAACATATTATAATGTGCTTTTGTTGATTTTCATATGGTCTATTTAGTCACGGGGCCTGTTTTTTAAAACTGGCTTTTCCTAAAGCAATGAATGTGAAACTTGAGCCTGTGAGTTGTCTTTTGCTTCACAAATTTGACTAAACCAAGTGTTTCTGAGCATCCTTCCTGGTATGAGTAAGGGACATGACGAATGTAGATGTAGACGTTTACTTTATAATGTAGAAGGAAATGTTAAGCTATACGAAGTGTGTCTTCTATGGACGTAATGTTCAGTTTTGCCAGGGTCTATTTATATATCTTCTTGCCCAGTGACTGAGAAAGGACTGTTAAAGAATTCTATAGCAATTAAATCTTTATTTTCTTTCCTTTAGTAATTCAGTGATAATGATCAAGTGTTTTTATGCTCTGATTTATACAAGGGTAATAAATCTGCCATTCTAAAGGCAAGGTCTTGCTAAGCTAATATTTGTCTTCCCACTGCCTTTTCTTACACTTTTTATTTAAACACAGGATATCACCAATCTGAGTGACTCTGCTACTGGCATTTTTCTTTTCCACTTTTTTTTTTTTTTTGTTCTCCCCCTGTCTTCTTCCCTAAATAATGTGATTGTGGGAGAAGTCAGGCTCTCCAGCCACAGTTTTGCTTTGGGACCTGCCGGGGCCGACTGCTGTGCACACACAGAGCCCTTTTGTTACTAGGAGGTATGTGTGAACACAGCAGTTTGCTCATACAAATTACTGAGATCTTAATCCTCTGTAGTAGCAAATGGTGCTGCCAAAAGAAATAACCCGGCCCCCGTGTTATTGCATGTTACCCATAGGTCTGAGTGGAGGAAATTAATGTAGAGCATGCATGGCACATTTGAAAGCACATCCATGGCGGGATGTTCTTACTGGCATTAAGCAAAGCAGAGTCAGGGGGGCTAACAGATTTTTATCAGTTAACCGGCGTAATCCTCAAAAATACCTATTTTGGCATTTAAAAAATTATGTAAGATACGTGTAGTGAAATCATATTCCACAGTATCTGCATTCCCGTAACAGCTGGGACTGCAGTGGAAATTTTCCCCTTCCATTACTGTGCATACTTCCTGCACGGACGGGCCACAATAATTATACAAGTGTAAGGGTGACATTAATGAATGGTAACACTGTCAGGCTAGTACAACACCTGTGCATGTAAGGATACTGAGGCCCTAAGCCAAACCTGGCTTCTGGAAGTCTTGCTTGACTTTTCCAGCTTAGCAAAACTAAATGTAAATTAATGCTAAAGAAATCTAAGCTGAGTTTTGTATAGCAGCTAATATTTTGAACTGATTAATAAGAAGTTGGGGGGGTAGGTTGCAGTAATTATAGGTTTCTTACTATGAAATGACTGTGTTTCTATTTCCTTTTTTGTTCTTTTCTAAATAATACATCTTTATAATTATTTATGAAGCTAAACATTCTGGATTATTTGAGAAAAATGGCTTTTTTTTTTTTTAACCCAGGAGTGCCTTGCACCTGCCCCCTGTGCACTTCAGACAGGAGGAGCTGTGTCACCACCTCCGAGGGAGTTCAGCTGGCCAAGGAACTGGGAGCCACTTACCTCGAGCTGCACACCCTTAATGAGTTCTACATACAGAAGTACTTTGGAGGAGTGGTGAGTGAGAAACCGCTGGGTTGGAAACATGGGAAGTGAGGGCTTCAGAGAGCAAGTGGAGACACACCAGAAGCCCTCCCACCGAGGGCAAGTTCCCATTGATGCTAGATTTGGATGAGACCTGAGGCAGAAATCCTTCCCTGTGAGGGTGCTGAGGCCCTGGCAGAGGGTGCCCAGAGAAGCTGTGGCTGCCCCTGGCTCCCTGGCAGTGTTCAAGGGGTGATGTCCATAGGTCCCTTGCAAGCTGAATTATTCCATAAAATTCCAATATTTTCAATTTTAATTGCTCAAACTCTCACAACTGTTCTATTTGTAAAGTGAGGCAGGTAAGATTGTTGAATTGCCCAATTTTTTAGCATATTCATGTGGTTGCTCAGTTTGCAGTCGTGATGCAGTTTGCAGTCCTGAGCAGAGCCTGAGATCAGCCACAGCAAAGCCTTTTTGAAAGCACTACGTGTCCTACAGTAATACTGTGGGTGGTAAATGCGTTTAAGACATGCACTAAGTCAAAGTGAACTGCCCTTTGTGCCTCTTCATTCCTGTAAAACAGATCATTTCCCCTCAGGCACATTTTTATTACAGTGATGATGCGTGTGTTCTCTCCTGGAAACCTTGCCCACAAAGATCACCCTATAATGCAACTTTTTCAGAGGACACGGTACCATTGTGTGGTAGGGGTGGTTAGTTGCAAGCTGAAGAGCTCATATATGGTTCTGTTACTTCCATTACTTGCGCTTGATCCTTATCCATCAAGTCTTATTCTTCTCTGTAATTCTGTAATTGACATCTACAGAAGTTGGTAAATTGAATATCTTTGTGCCTGACATTTCTGGAAAGATTAAATATGAGAATTAACCACGAATGAATAGCCTCTTAAATTGTGGTAATTCCAGCTACATGTGGTACCTTCTGCTGATAAATGAGTGTTGGGACTCAGTGACCTGGGTGACTGTTCATAGCCGCAGTAGCCCCAGTCCTGCATACAGCACCCACTCGTTCTCCTGTTCAATGTCTATGTTGTCCTTAAATTACAAGGATTTTTTTAAAAATACATTTCGTGTTTTAGCTGGAGTATTTTATGATCCAAAGTTTGAATCAGAAGTCATCCGAAAAAATGAAGAAAAGGAAAAAGATGCAGAAGTGCCATCGAGTGCAACCACCTCAGCTCGAACAGCCAGGTGCTCGCTGATGTCTGGTCTCTAGTTTCGTTCATTATGTGTGTCATGTGCTTCCTGCAATTAACACTTTGTAATCATTGCTGAGAGCTGTGCTGTCTTATCATCAGCTATTCTGGTTATGTTGCTGTAGTTGCATCATCTTTTAGTGATGGTTTAATTAATTTGGTGAGAATTGTGAAGCAATATGTAACATTGCAATGGACTTCTAATTTATTTCAGACAAAAATAATAAGACTGGTTTTCTGGTGCACTTGATAAAATAATGTAATGGTGAATTAATAAAAGCTTTACATAAAAGCTTTACAGACAAATTATGAAAGAAAGTAATTATATCATTCTTTATTATTTTACAATATCATCAAGTAATATTTTTATTTGCTGCAAATAAAGCAAGAGAGAGATGTATGTCCCTGCACGCGGTTTCTAAGTATCTGATGCACTTATTCAGTCAAATAATTACTGACAAGTACTTACCTCTAAATGTGTAGTTATCTCTTCTCACATGTGTTAAAAATTCACTCAGATCCTTTAGATTTGGGATTTACAGGCAAGGTATCTTTCAAACATAAGTGCCTAAAGAGGTTTCATAAAAGGATGGACGCTTTTTACTAAACTAAGTATTTCTTATATTTCTTATTTTACTATAGTAAGTATTTCCATTTTTAGTGTATTTTACTGAACATATTCATATGAGAAATGAATATAAGAAATTTGCTTACCAGTTGTGGTTTTTATTTTGGGTTTTTTGGGGGGGTTTGTTTGTTTGTTTGTTTTGGTGTTTGTTTTGTTTTTTCCAGAAATTGTCCTTCATTTGATCAGGTCTCTGGGAATAGACTTGTCCTGCAGTTAATACTTGCTTCAATTTTCCAGCCTGACTCATTATCTTTTGCAGAAAAAATGCCGATCTTAAAGGGTGAAGCCTCACACTACGACGCGGACCTGCACAACCTGCTCTGCTGCTGCCAGTGCGCGGACGTAGCGTTTTACCCCGAAGACTTCAGCACCATGGTGGAAGCTCACAAGATCATCCTCTGCTCTGTCAGCCACCTCTTCATGCTGCTTTTCGAGGTGAAGAGCCCCGCCGACATCCGCGATGCCTCCATCGTGCGGACGGCGCAGAGTCTCTTCACGGTGGAGACGGGGGCCGCCTTCCCCCCGGTCCCCCGCGGCGTCCCACCCTGCGTCTCGCCGGTGAGGGTGGTGGTGAAGGACCCCGTCTTCTGCTCTTGTCTTCCAGACATCCTCCACTTCATTTATTCAGGTACCTCCCGGCTACTCATTTCTCATACAGCTGGTCTCTCATGAAGGAGCGCGTGCATCACCCTAAGGAACATGCCTTTGCTGCTGTTGAGATGATGTTCTGCCATGTTGCTACATCTATTTTGTCCTTGTGATTACGACAAACAATGTCTAGGTGAAGAAGCCCTTTGCCTAGATTTAATAAAAATTAAATTAGTTGTCATTCCAGACCTCATGAACATAAATTAAGTGCAATATTTTACTGAACAAAGTCCATAAGCTAACGTCAGTAATATTGAAAAGCTTTGCCAAAAAAATCTAGAGTTTGAGACAGTTTCAGATTTCAGGCTTTTAAATTTTTTTAAATGATCTCATGTTCTAAACACATGGATGACAGCGCAGGTTTACTTGAGAAAACTCAAGTGATTACTCTTCTGGGTATGGTTGGAGTACAGGGCACCCTGATATGCCATATATGTTTTGCTACCAATTCAGTACAGGCAGTGACCTTACCTACCTCATCCCAGATGTCTATTAAAATGGCACTGATATTTTTCTATCTTTTTAAGCGTTGCTTAGGAATCCTCAAGCGAAAGAGATTTTTTTTTTTTCCCCAGAAGTATCCGATACCTGTTTATTCTTTATAAAATACATTGCAAGATGTCAGTACATAAGAATATATATTTTATATTTGTCAAAAGAATTAGTAGGCTTTTTAATGATGCATTCTAACTATAATAATAATAATAATAAAAAACCCCCAAATAATTATATTGTTAGAGCTGCCTCCATAAAGAAGCTTAGTCTATCTTTGTAGACTGATACTTACATGACATATTGAAAGGGTTTCTGCATTAGTAGCTGAGACATGAACACTGGCTTGTGAAGACACAAGGGAGACTCTTTCAGCTTTCAGTTAGAGTTTGAACATTGAAAACATCCCTTTCAGTTCCTTCCAAACCAGTGTCAAACATAAAAGACATGCAGAAGTTTTTCAGTGTGAGTGGATTGATTTTCTTATTTCTTGGTGACATGAACAGAGGATGAAACCTGAAATTTCAGCAGCTGAAAGATAAGCACGTCTGCTGCCTCCTTTGTATTAATTTTGCTTTTGCTTATGTTGGCCAAAGAGGTGGGAAACTTTGTACAGTTGTAGGTGACACTGCTGTAGGTCACAGCTCCCAGCCTGAAGGGCATCATTGCCTAAAGTCATTGCACGGTTTGGTACCTTTGACAGGTGACGAGGTCTTTCAAAGACGTTTAAGGCACGGGCTGAGAAGATATCAGATCACGAGGCAGCGTCATTGTTTTCAGCCTTTAAGGACCATGACATTATGTCCATGAGGCTATAAACCCTTACCATCCACATGGTATACATAGGAGTTGACTGAGCTAAAGACACCCTACGCTCTATGTGCTGTTTCAGCCTTTTCTGCAGCAGAAAACCCTTCAGGGCTGTGATGACTTGTGCTTTACACTGAGCTTTATCTGCCTCTGACTCTTCCTTGCTGCATGGCCCTGGGCATCAGAGCTGAAAGTTACCAAAAAGCTCCATGGTGTCTTTGAGACTTACTCCAGTAAAGGGTATAAGCATAGAGTATGTTTAATGCTGGTCAACACTTTTAGTTTTCCCAAGAAAGCTATTGGGACATCTAAGAGAATATTACAGCTTTGACTCTGAAAATAAAAAAAAAAAAAAAGAAAAAAGAAATTCCACAGAAAACTTCATGCTGTTTTTGGCTACCAGTATTCACAATATAACCCTGCATGAAGCTTTTCTGGTTCAGACACCTGCAAAGCAAAGCAACCAGCAATATAAGCAGAAGCTAAAGAACATCTATAAAAATTTAAACACTCAGGAATTTTTTCTGAATGTCTACCTGCAATATGTAGTGATTGTACTGACAGGAATCCAGAAATTTATTTTGAAGGCAAACGAGATGCCCTGATTTGTCTGTACTTGATTGTATTCCTGTAACAGTACCATGGAAGTTTTATTGTGCAAGAATTGCATCTTGCTCTTCCTAAGCACAAAGATCTAGCTGATTTACGTGCAAAAAATATAGTTTCTGCAGGATCTGTTCAGCATTGATATAATCTTTTCTCCGCCTGCCTTGTTCAGTTATTATCCAACTTTACCTGGTCTTGTGACAGGTGCTTTCCAGTGGGAACGATTAGAAGAGGATATAAAAAAGAAGTTGAAGGATCCAGAAAAAACTGAACATGTGCTTGAGAAAGTTAAATGTATCCTGAAAACGCCAGGGAAGGTACATCTAACTCTCTTGGGGTAACTGCTAGTATTAGTTACTTAAACACTTGGGAAATTGTTTTGTAGACAAAGTTTCCTTGTCAGTCTTTGTTTTAAATTCACCTTGTCTTACACAGCTTTTACTGCTTTATCAGTGGGTTGTTCACAGGCATGCTCGAAACAGAAACACAGAGATGCTGATGTAATGTGCAGAATTACTGTAACTGGTAAAAGCACACAAGTAGATTTCCTAAAACGATTACTCATATTCACAGCTTTCCACACTGTCTAACAATATGATTATGTGTTCCTAATTCTCATGTAATAGAAACTGCTCTCCTGAGTATGTGCCAAAAATTACGTTTCTGCAGTAGATTGGGAGAGTTGGTTTCTCTTATAAGTGTAGTGATGTGGAAATCTACAGCTCAATATATTTAATTCAGCAGATGACTTCACAGTACAATCTAATTTATGTCACATTATTATGTTAATAAAAAGTTACAATACAGAATTAGTTTTAACACCCATTTGCTAATAGAGCTTATACATTCCCTGATACTATAGAACTTGCACAAGGTATTTCTGTCAATTTAAATGGGAAATCATCTTGGACTCTCTTGAGATAACTTAACATAAAGATTAAAAAGTTTCTTAGCTGTTTTAAGCTTCTGATCACTCAGCTGTAGGCTTGCCAGTCCTAAGTATCCATAGCTAAAACGTTCATAGTGTTGGATTTAGAAAGTCCTGAAAACTCTTTAGATAATAAGCCAGAGCTGTTTCTTTTGGGGTTTTTATTTTGCCTTCAGCATACTTTTATTTCACATTGAAAAGTTTTCCTTCAAAGGCTTAGAAATGAACTGTGATTTTTTCTTGATAAAATTTAAAGCTAATTAATAAATTAGGTAAGATTTAAACCATAAATTCAACCTCAACTGAATTTCATTTATCAAAAATCTACAATATGATTTTGATGTTGTTCCTTTTGGTAGTTTCAGATTCCCTTCCTTAAAGTACGAAAAGCAAAACTGAAAAACCAAAAGGAAATACTGGGGTTTGGAGGTTTTCACCCTAGCATGCCAAAATTATGTATTATGTGGTTCAGCCTGTGAACCTTCCTCTGCTTCTGTGGGGGCAATATCAGGGCAATACCAATTAACACACGACTTTTGGCTGCCTTGCACCCATACGTGGCATTGTGCTGGGGGGCAGATATGTGTCCCATCAGTGTTCCCTCCAGAGCCCTCAAGCCTTGTCTTTCTGCAGCCTTGGGTCTGAACAGGGCATGTATGAAACAGTTTGGAGTCCAGAAAATTCATGATGTAATCAAACCTGCACAGAGGTACTGGACGGGGGAGTATTGTCACAGGTCAGAGAGTACAAAGGGAAGAGCTAGATGTGAGTGTAGGAAACATCGATGATGACTTCCTTCTCCAAGTGACA